ATACTGCTTTCCACAGGGGTTGCACCATTTTACACTCCCACCAACAGTGAATCAGGGTTCCAGTTTCTCCACAACCTCGCCAGCATTTATTGGTTGCTGTTCTGTTAAATTTTGCTTCTCCACTGAATCTTTCCACAAATGTAATCGATTTGATTCCTATGCATACCATCAGGTGAAATCCATGTGTACAGCCTGCGTTTATGTTTCTTATATAAGATATTTGCAATGAATAAATCATTGAATGTTCAGAACTCTATCATTCTATCTCCAGACTCTTTAGTATCTTGAATTCTTCCCTCTGCATTGCTTCTCAGTGCTCTAGTGCAATATTCAGTCTTTCCTCTTCCCTATTTTTTTATTATTGATTTCAAGGAAAGTTTACAAAAATTTTGGATTTCATTCATTCATTGTTGCACTTTTCTCCCTGTCCAACCTCCCCAACCCCCAGTTCACTCTTCTCTTTGAAAAGTAAAAAAAAATCTTTCATTGTTATACAGTCCCTCCCCTAAATCCACTCCACTATGCAGCCTTCGTTCTAAACTCCTGTCATGACAATACCTATTCATATATCCCTTTTAAACAGAGTCTCTTCTGTCATCCATTTTGGTCTTTTCTTCCTCCTCTGTCTTTGTAATGCCCTTTTGCACTCTTCCTGGATGATATTCTTGTACTGAAAGGAATAGGCAGCCACAGAAAATTTCATGAAACAACATATGAGTAAGAGCCTATGGTGAAGGAAGTAGTTCAAGCTGCTTTGAAAGAATTGGCAAAAAATAAGGCCCCAGAAATTGATGGTATTGATGTATTTCAACTAACACATGCTGCCCTAGATGTGCTCACCACAATGTGTCAGGAAAACTGGAGGACAACCATTTGGCCAACTGATAGAGATTTATATTCATTCCCATTCCAAAGAAAGGTGATCCAACAGAGTGTGGATATTATGTAATAATATCATTAATATAACATGAAAGCAAGATTCTGCTGAAGACTATCCAAAAATGACTGGGACAGCACATTAACAGAGAACTGCAAAAAGTGCAGGCTGGGTTTAGAAGGCGTTGTGGCACTAGGGATATTGTAGCTAATGTTATATGGACCTTGGCTGAAAGCAGGGAGTTCCAGAGAAATGTCTGTGTTTCATTGATTATGCAAAGGCATTTGACTGTGTGGATCACAACACACTATGGGTAATTCTAAGAGGAATGGGAATCCCAGAACACTTAATTGTGCTAATGTGAAATCTGTACTTGTACCAGGAGGCAGACAGAACAGAGCAAGAAAACACTGCATGGTTCAAAATTGGCAAGGGTGTATGCTAGGGATGTGTCTTGTCTCCACACCTTTTCAATCAATATGCAGAACAGATTATTTGCGAGGCGGGCTCTATGCAGAGAAATGAGGCATCAGGATTGGAGGAAGATTCATCAACAATCTGCGTTATGGAGATGACACAAGCCTGCTTGCTGAAACTGAGGAGGACCTGAAGCGCTTGCTGCAGAAGGTCAAGGACTGCAGCCTTCAATATGGATTGAGGCTCAATGTCCAGAAAACAAAGATTCTCACCACTGGACTAATAGGCAGCATCAGGATGGACAGAGAAGAGATTGAGATTGTTAACAACTTTTGTGTGCTTGGCTCTCCAGTCAACACTCTTGGCACCAGCAGCCAGGAAATTAAAAGACATATTGTGATAGGAACATCTGCTCTTAGGGACCTCTCAAGTACTAAAGAGCAATGGTGTCACTTCGGAGACTAAGGTGCGTCTGATACAGGCCATGGTCTTTGCAATCACTTGTTATGCACCAGAGAGTTGGAAAATGACTATGGAGGATAGAAGGAGAATTGATGCCTTTGAGCAGTGGTGTTGGAGTACTGAATATACTGTGGACTGCTAAGAAAATGAACAGGTTCATCCTGGAGAGCCTTAAACTAGACTGCTCTTTGGAGGCAAGGATTCTGAAGCTTCATCTGACATACTTTGGACAGTTTCCAAGGAGGGACCAATCCTTGGAGCAGGACGTCATGCTTGGGAGGGTGGAGGGACAGTGAAGGAGAGGAAGACCCTCTATGAGGTGGATTGATTCAGTGACTGGGGTAATTGGGGTAGGTGTGTTGGAGACAGTGAGATTGGCACAGGACAGAGCAAAGTTTAGGACTGTTTTACAGAGGGTTGGTATGTGTAACAACAACAACCAATCAGATTTATTCATACTAGTTCATTTGAATTTAAGCATTACAATGCTTTAAAACCAACATCAGAAATGACAAGCAGAAATTAAAATTAGCAAAATTATATTTACATGTAATTTAGGATTAGAGTTTTCCTCAAAATGGGAGCCTAGCCAGATGCAACCTAAACATTTTATGACCATTGAGACTCAAAGTTACTTTCCCATGCTGAACTCACCATGAGGAGTTGAAAACAGACTGAGTACGATGATAACACTGGGTTGAACTCCATGTTCTAAAAGAACCTTTACAGCTTCAATTACAGTATTTCCAGTGCCTAAAATAAAACAACGATAAAGCAACATTTATCTAAAAATATGCTTAAAGTAAGAGCAGTAGACACTTCACCAAAAATGACATTCAGATGGCAAATAAACACATGAGGAAATGTTCAAAATCTCTAGTTATCAGAGAGATGTAAATCCAAACAACTGAGATATCATCTCACGCCAACAAAAATATCAACATTAAATAAGGGAGCAAACAATAAATCCTGGTGATGTTGTGGACAGACTGGAATCCTTATTCACTGCTAGTGCAAGTGTAAAATGAATGGTACAACGCACTACGGAAGGCCGTCTGGCATTTTCTCAAAATGTTGGAGCTAAAAAATACCAACCCCAAGCCATCATTCAAACAGATGTATGCACACCCATGTTTATTCCTGTTAATCACAGTAGCAAAGAGATGGAAGCAAACCAAGTGCCCATTAACAAAGGAATGGTTAGAAAAATTATGGTACATTCACACAATGGACTATTATACAGCACTGAAAAACAATAAATTAATAAAAAGTTACACAACTGGGAGCTCTGGTAGCCTAGTGGCATGAACCTGCACTGAAATCCCAAAGGTGCACGGTTCTAATTCATCAGAAGCTCTGCTGGAGAAAGATGGGCAGTTTCCCCCTGTGCCAGTCAGATCTGACTCAACAGCACACTATGGCAAAAATAAAGTGTCACTAAAAAAAAATATGAATAAAAAAGTTACACAAGAAGAGTGACTATGGAGGACAATATGCTGAGAGAAATATCTCAGTCACAAAAGGACAAACATACAGTGGTATTGGGAGTTGGCAGGAGAATGCCAAAGAGTGGATAGGTAATGAACTCTACAGTGGAACAGATGAGGGTACAAATGGTCTGAAAGGAATATATGATTACGTATTACATATATGACAACAATCTGAAACAAGAAATGCATTGCAAAGTGGACTTGGGCAGGGGTTAGGGAGGGGGAGAAAAGAAAATGTACAACAGTGAATGAATAAAACTTATTTTTAAAAATGAAAAATAAAAAAAAAGAAAAATACATATAAGAATTAGAGAAGCATTTAATCTATTTGATAAAGATGGCAATGGCAGT